TCTAAAAGCTACAAATACTTTTGGACAAGGCATGTGGTTACTCTGGGTCTGTTTATACAATTTTCATAGGTGGAGCTCAGTATTTACAAGCACAACAAAATGCAAGGATAGATTTACAAATAGGTAAAGTTGAGAGGTGTATATAGACAGCAGAGGCAAATAGGCATTTTTCTCCCCCTGAATAGTTTTCAGCCACATGTTTTTTCCCATTGCTAGTAAAAATATAGTCATCTCATTTACACATCTGGGGTGGATTTACTAAATGCAAATTTTACCCCAAGGATTAGTGATCGTGATGAAATTTCACTTTTAAAAGGAATGCAAGGAAAACTGAAAAACAGCATTTTTGCTTGCACCTAATTGGATAATGGAAGTCAGCAGAGCTTCACTATGTTCACTAAACTCTGGGAAAATTCCTGTATGACAGCTGTCACACATGCAGCCTTTCTAAAAGCAGATTTCTCTACCACTTTGTCTGAACTCCTTAGAAAACTTTCAACAGTCTTGGAAATCCAGGAATCGAAAAAAATATACTCCCTCTTTTCATGAAACAGAGTTGGAACCTCCTAACCTGTTTGAGGATGAAATGGAGGAAATGATGAGGATGCAGATATTGTAGTAGAAGCTGCAGAGGATTCTCCAAGCCCTGGATTTTTTAAGCCACAAGCTATGGCTTCTTGACAAATGCTCTCCACTGTGACACATTAATTGATGTGGTGCAAACTAGTCTTTGCTTACCAGAACCTGATTCTCCACAGCTAAAACAATACTTATGGACACTAAGTTGCTGGCAAAAATAAGACTTTTTATCCTACAGAAAAGGATTTAAAAAATGGTCTGTTTCATCAGGAGATACTGCCATTTCAGTCCTCAATAAACACTCTACAGTTCCTTTTTTAGAATGTCGCCTCTTTTAAGGATTCTGCTGATAGGCTTCCTTTGCCCTTGTAGGCTCAGTTGTGCATCTGGAAATTGCTTCTATATCTATTTACAAGACTATTTCTAACTGGGCAAGACAAATGAATAGAGAACAAACACCTGTCTTTGATTACCCTATATTTTTTAGAACAATTGCAGATAATGTCCTTAGCCCTATTGGTTTGAAAGAAAATTGCTTGATCTCTCCATCAACATAGACAGTGTTGATGGTGGAATCCCCTCTGCAGAGCCATTGTATTCTCCCTGCAGGGAGGAGAGGGGGTTAAGTGGCAAGAGCGGGAACCATCCCCGCTGGGAGAACACAGTGATTATTGCTAGTGGCTATAGCCACTGGCAGTAATCGCATGAAAAATCTAACAGACTGGTTGTACCCAAGTTGTACAACATTGATTTGGGTACAATCAGCCTGCCCATATATGATTTGATTTTGAACAATTTATTGCTGGCTTAAAAGGTGTCTTATCTGTGAATGTGTATTTGGGGAATGGTTTGATAAAATCATCAAGGAAGTCGCTGAGTTAAAAGATGCCTTGTCACACAAGAAAAAGCCTAAGGTAGGTCATACATTTAAAATTTTTTTAATCTTTGTTCAACCAGCAGGTTTGAGGAGAATGGGAGAATTCTTTCCACTGTAGTATTGTATTCTGACATCAGGGAGCCTTCCAGGCCATCAGAATACAATGATCAGTGTTTCTGGGCAAAATCTGACAGGCTGGTTGTACACAAGTCGATCGATACTTGTGTACAACCAACCTGCGCACACATGGATAGAAATTCATCTGGTCTCTGCTTAACTGTCTGAATTTTGATCTGTGTATGGCTGCACTTAAGTCTCTTACTCTTAAGGCTACTACCTCTACTCAGCCAAAGGGATCTTTTTGTTCCATGTGTCAATCTTGAAACCAAGGCTTAATATTTTCATTTGTTGCAAGCCTTGGACCCTTAAATCCACCAAGCCTGCTCAGAATCCCCCTTACAATGAAGGTGCACCCTGGCTCCCTGGAGTAGGGACATCTATTGCCATTTGCACTAATCTGGAACTGAGATGTCCTGGACCTCTGGGTCCAAGCTGTCATTTCAAATGGGTTCAGAATAGAATTTCTAACTCTGCCCTCTTCAAATTTCCAGTGTCAGCTCAAAAACAAGTAGATTTACTGGCAGCTTTTTGCCAACTTCAGTGACAGGGAGAAGTTGAATCAGTTTCTTCAGTAAACAGTTCTGAGTTTTTTTATTCAATTCTAGTCACGGTCCCTAAAAAAAGAGGGGCATCCACCCCCCAATGGACCTAAAATCTCTAAATAGATTTCTTTGTGTACCTTTATGTGCTTCTCCCAGACAAGAGAATTTTGGTATCAGTAGACATACAGAACGTCTATTATACATTCCCATCTTCCTTTTACATCAACACATACTGTCCTTTGCTGTGGGAGACCAACACTTCCAATTTGTAGCACTAGCATTTAGGCTCTTCTCTGCACTTCAAGTGTTTAACAAAAGTGCTTGCTCCACTTTTGCTCTTCTGTGGACTCAGGGCATTCATGTAACAGGATGTTTGTAATACCTTCTGCTGAAACTGCCCAGTTTCACTTGAGGTCAAATCAACTCAACATTCTCACCATTCACTCTCTGAATTACCCAATGCGTTTATCCAGCCAAACACAAATCTACCAAGTATGACAGATCTCCAGTTCTGCCCTGGAGTCCAGAAAGTCATTCCTTCACATACCCTGGAAGGTGGTAACAATGGAAGCCAGCCTTACAGGCTGGAGGGGGAAGTTTACAATTACCTAACTGTCTAGGGCAGTGGTGGGCAACCTTTTTTTTCAACTGAGCCAAATCTCGCCAAAACCACGATTGAAATTTATTTTGAGAGCCACATTTTTAAAACTGAAAATACATAGGATGGTACACTGTTTTTAGTTTCAATAAGTTTTTATAGTAATTCATCCCCCATATAGTAATTCATCCCCCATAGTAATTCATCCCCCATATAGTAATTCATCCCCCATAGTAATTCATCCCCCATATAGTAATTCATCCCCCATAGTAATTCATCCCCCATAGTAATTCATCCCCCATATAGTAATTCATCCCCCATAGTAATTCATCCCCCATATAGTAATTCATCCCCCATAGTAATTCATCCCCCATATAGTAATTAATCCCCCATATAGTAATTCATCCCCCATAGTAATTCATCCCCCATATAGTAATTCATCCCCCATATAGTAATTCATCCCCCATAGTAATTCATCCCCCCTATAGTAATTCATCCCCCATAGTAATTCATCCCCCATATAGTAATTCATCCCTCATAGTAATTCATCCCCCCTATAGTAATTCATCCCCCATATTAATTCATCCCTCATATAGTAGTAGTAAGTAAGTAGCAAGTAGTAAGCCAAGTCCCCCCTGTGTCAATTCACTTACCTTTGCTCCGCGCGTTCCTCTCGCCGTGTTCCTGCGCCGTTCCGGTCTTCAGGGCGGACTGTGAGAGGAGCCTAGCTCCTCTCACGTTCGTCACGCTGCCCCGCCTACACACATCCTGACAGCCAATCACTGGCTATCAGGATGTGAGTGGTAGCGAGACTGGCCAATCATTGCATTTGAGCGCGCTTCCCTGGCTGTTTTTTTTTGGATCACGCTGCAGAGTCCCTGCCACCCGAGAGGAGGGAGGGGAGCGGGCGCGCGGCACACAAGAGCCGCATTAAAGCGTGTAAAGAGCCGCATGTGGCTCGCAAGCCGCGGCTTGCCGACCACTGGTCTAGGGGACCTGGTCCTCAGAGAAGTCAAGAATCCTCATCAAAATTCTGGAATAAAATTAATCAAATTAACTCTACAACACTGAACCTCCCTTATGCAAGGTCACTCACTCAGGGTGAAATTGGACAATGCCACAGCAGTGGCCTACATAAACCATCAGGGGGATATCAGAAGTAAAGCTGCCCAGAGGCCGCGTTTACACTTGAGGTTGAAGGGTGGTATAAACGCCACATTGAGCCACATTTTTACCACCCCTCCTGGCCGTAAGCTTCAAAGCAGTGGACACAATGCTTTGCATTGCAGCAAAAAATATCCTCCCTAGGCACTTACTATTGCTTGTATCCTGTCCACAGTCTCTGGCCATCTTTTGTATCATGTATACTGTCACTGACCATCTCTTGTATCATGTCGGCAAACTCTGACCATCTCTTGTATCATATATGCAGTCTCTGACCATCTCTTGTATTTTTTTCTAGAGTCTCTGACCAGCCCTTGTATTAAATCCACAATCTCTGACCATCCCTGTATCTTGTCAGCACTCTCTGAAAATGTTCTGTGACATTCCATTAGTCTTTTACTATATCCTTTTGTGTGACACTGAATATTCATTGAATTTTTTGTGCAGCACTTTGGTGATGCCTGGGGGCCGAACTTGAGGCCCACCATATCCAAAAAGTTGACCAGCACTGATCTACTCTAAAAATCAACAGGTAAACAAAAAAAACTGTTTTGTTAATGCGAGTGACAGACTGAAACATATACTGTATGTCATTTTGTATTTTACCCATAGTTCTATGCTATGTTTTAAGAATTATGGAAAGAATACAAACTATGATAAAAATTGATAAAAATAGGCATGAATAGGACATAGCCTTTTAGCGTGAATTTATTTATAGTGTTTCCTAAAAACAAATTGATAACATTAACCCTGTGGTTTCCATTTAAATTACATGTCAAATTTTCCTTGACGTTGAATTATGGATTGTTTTTTTATTTCTTTATGGTTAACAGACCTCACTGTATATTTCTGTGCATGTAATGGAGAAGATACGAATCTGGAGGGCCTTTGATACAGAAAAAGGTAACAATATGTGTTTAAAACATAATTACCAAGTAGACATGACTGTCTCAGGGGAATGTGAAATGAGGAAGCCGGAGTGTGAAAAAGATTCTTTGCAATGTGCAGACAGAAAGATGAGTAATGAGAATCCTAATGCACTATGACAGCACTTGCATATTAATCCCAATGGGTGAGCCATATTTTAAGATACTCTTACTATAACACACAAATGACTTACTTTACCCACAGTCATGCTATTGAGCAAATCATCAAGTTCATTTGACATCGCAGATAGACCAGAAATGGCTTTGTTTAAATCTTGCAGGCTCATGCGAATGGTAGAGGTCAAGCGGTTAAATCTCAATAACTCGTGAACCAGCACTGTGTTCATAGATTCTGTGTACTGAGTGGGATAAAGTCTCTGGAAGAAAGAAAAAGCCAATTGTACTTTAGAAAGGTGCAGCAAAGGTCTTACAGATGCTCAAAACTTTTCATTTACAAAGCAGAAACAGCAATTTGTATTGCTAATCAATATAGTCTAGCTGATGTGAGATACTGCTTTGTTTTATTTTTTCTGTTAATAAAAATACATAAATCCCACAACTTAAATTTTTTCATGTGATATTTTATTTATTTAAATTGTACCTATAAGCAAAATAAAACAATGATATACAGTAAATTGCCCCATTTACACGGGCCAGGTCCATTTTTCTGTTTACTGATCCCCTGCTGAGCTGAATGGAGCGGGTGGATAACAAGTCTGTGCCTGCTCCGCTTTACACCCAACCGCTCTCTAACTCCACCCAGACGGAGGGGAACAGATCCCCTTCTGTTAGTTTTAAGCAGATTAGATTAGAGGTAGACGGGCATAAACAGACACAAGTCCATTTACATTTGCCACTCCATAAAGGAGAGTGGAGGGTCCGATCGGGTCTGACTGAAAAACAGACAGGCGGACCCGATCAAACCCCTTGTGTGAAAGGGACCTATGATGCAGTTCATCAATGGCATTAACACAAGGTTTGAAAGGGAAACCCTAACTCATGGGGTTTCAGTAAAATTTTGACTGCTGAAGATGAATTGAAAGTAGAGGTATATATTATACAATCATGTAGGAAGAGCTGCATGCAGGGAGAGCAACACAATACACAATAAACAGCCTGTGTGAACAACTATTGTCACCTCAACAATGTCCTTCAAAGACATGAATGACACTTCAAAAGTATAATGGACAGTTAGGTTTCCACCCATCCTAGGACATATAAATTGTATTAGAGGCCCCAGCTATTCAGAACAAATTCAAATCCAATACCCTGTATTGAGCTGCTCTCCTTGCATGTTATATAATAAACACTACTTTTCACCTGGGCTTCGTGGTCAAAATGTTATAGAGCCCCCATGAGTTTGCGGTTTTCCATCATTTTAATACTTGTTCATCCTGCTAGTAGATGCATTTTTTTTCTCTTTTTGTAATAAGCCATACTGTTCAGCAAAATTAGCAGTTACAATTACAAAAAGTTCCAGTCTCAGGTTCAAAATTGTCTGAGCAGCAACCAAACAACCAGCAGGGGTAACTGACTGCAATGATATTTATGAAAGCAAAGGATGGCCACCGTCTGGCAGCTTTGGAAGTGGGTGGTCACCCTAGTAAGGAAGATAAATCAGAAACAGAACCAATAGGTATTTATAAAAAAGTTACTTACTGTACATCAATTTATAAGGTATGCAAAACATACACAATCTTAGTATTTGGTTTTACACAAAAATAAGCTAATATGTGTTTTCATCATGTAGGCATTTTAATATATACCTATATTGCCAAACAAGTATTGGGATATCCCTCCAAATCATTGGATTCAGGTGTTCACATCACCTCCATGACCACAGGTGTATAAAATCAAGCACCTAGGTGACTCGACAAGGTTGCCCCGGTCCCCATTACTGTATGCACTCGCGGCAGAATCCTTAGTCATTTCGCTCAGACTGCATCCCGATACTAGGGGCATCTGGATGGGCTCCCTAGTGGAAGCCATAGGAATGTACGCTGATAATATGATACTCTACCTGGAGGATACATGCCCCTCTTTATAGGCCGCTTTACTTTTAATGTTAATGCCTGACCTCACAAATGCGCTCCTGGAGAAATGGTCAAAAATTCCCATAGACACACTCCTAAACCTTATGGACAGCCTTCCCAGAAGAGTTGAAGCTGTTATAGCTGCAAAGGGTGGGCCTACTCAATATTGAACCCTACGGACTAAGACTGGAATGTCATTAAAGTTCACGTGCGTGTAAAGGCAGGCGTCCCAATACTTTTGGCAATATAGTGTGTGTGTATATGTATATAAATATTGTGATGATATTACAGTTATTTCATAGAGACTGGGCAATCATTGCACCCAATATTCCTTCTACAAATTGCTGTAGTAAAAATCCAGGCTGCATGATGGGTGTTTGCCAGAAGAAAAGTGAGTGGAAAACTTTGTTATAGCGATGCAACATCATTTTACATGCTACCAGCTACCATCCGGAAAGTTTAAAACAGGGTATACCCATCGGCCAATTTCAGAGAATTAAAAGGAATTGTACTGATGACGCCCAATATAGAGCTGAATCTATTCAGCTTTATAAAAGGTTTAGGGAAAAGGGGTATTCACATAGAACTTTGAGAAGAGCCAAACGAAGAGCCTCTTATAAACCAAGAGATGAATTAATTAATAAATCCAAATCCAAATCTGGGAAGGAATCTTCAAATCAACCAGTAAGGTTTATAACTAAATTTGGACAACAATGGAGGGAAGTTAAGAGGGCTCTGGATTCACATTGGCATTTATTAACTAAAAACTCAGGAATAGCACAAATTGTAGGTGAAAGTCCACATATGGTAGCAAAAAGAGCCCAGAATCTGAATGATTTTCTAGTACAGTCAGAATTTCAAAGAGTCCCCCAAACAAATTGGTTAACTAGGCAAACTCGTATAACTGGCATGTTTCCGTGTGGCCATTGCCAAATTTGTCCATATGTACATAAGACCAATCAGTTTTTTAATACAGATGAATCCCAGGTATTTCAAATAATAAACTTTATTAACTGTTCTAGTAATAAAGTAATATATATGATAGAATGTCCATGTAAAAAAAAAAAAAAATATATATATATATATAGGGAAAACCAAAAGAACCCTTAGAACTATGATTGGTGAACATCTGAGAGATATTAAAAATAAGAACAGGAATAGGAATGAAAGAGAGAAGGAAAACCCGCTAGCCCAACATTTTAAGGAGGTACATGGAGGAAGGATTGTTAGTCTGAAAGTTAAGGGAATTTTCCTGTTAAATATTTCAGCTAGATGGGGCGACTTTGATAAAGTTCTCCTCCAAAAAGACAAATTTTGGATATATACTCTTAACTTTAAGATTTTCTTGAATTAAATAAAAGAATTAAACTTCTTTGGTGAGGCTATGTCCACACTGCCATCTGAGTCTAAAGAATCATATTCCTCTCTTTTTTAAGATGAATTCTTTTTTTGAATAAGACTTTTCTTGTAATGTCACCATTTAGTATATGTTTTTCTATGTGATTTTGGATTTTAATGTAGTAATAGTTTTTCAACACAATAGGGCGACATAAACAACTTTGTATGCAATTAGGGCAATTAGGGCAATATAAGGCAATGGAAGAGAAGTCCCCTCCCAGTTCTGACGAAGTCTGCGGTGATTGGCGGACGAAACGCGTCAACGTGATGACATCATTACGCTAGGCGTCTTCATAGGGTGCGGTGCCCACAAGGAGAGAAGAAGCAGTTTGTTTCAGCTCCATATTGGAAAGGCATGAGGCATTAAAGATCATGATGAGGCTATCATCCTAAGCAGCCCGCACATGGCGACTTAGAGCCACAGCTCACTTCCACCGGAGGTAAGTTATTAGCTTGTTTGGCTTAGATAGCCTCTATTGCTATTTATTTACGGGGAGCATACTTCACATATTGGGAACTATGTGCCCATTAGCCCTGTTTTTCATTATTGGAAACACAAAGACCTGATCTAATTTCAAGTGAGGTGAAGTCTCCTTGATCCTACTTATGGTAATATATTTTTTAACCTTATATTTATTCTATTCAGGTATTTTGCTTGATATTCACGATCTATGTTTATACATTCTCAGAATCACTTGCTATTGTGGATTCATTTCCACTTGGGGTGGTCACCCAGGAAGGCCCTGCATTCATCATTTTTTCATGATGGTCAAGCTCATAAGAAGGTAATGGAACTATTAGCTTACTATTTTGTTTGGCTGCCTTGTTCTAGTACATGACTTGTGCATACATTACTCTTTTTATGTTTCCACTACTATGATCCTTCTTTGGTTTCCATTATAGGAAGTTATTCTGCTTATTGTGGTGCTTAACAAAGAATATCTTAGAAGAATGCTCTCCCTATCCAGATACAATGTGGAAACATATGGAAATTTATGATCACGTAACTAGGAAACTTCATTGCCTTATGTGGATTCCTGCTTGCCGATAATTATCCAGATTTGAAGACGCCGAATGCTTTTAATTTTGTAATTTTATCATGATTTGTTCACCCTGTCCATGTCCAACCTCTTTATGATCCATGGGATCAAATAAAATATTTTTGTAGCTGTTGAATGCAGTTATATTACTCCGCTTGGATTTTCAATTAACCACTTCTTGTAGGCAGTGTTGCCCTTGTCATACTGCCATTTTTTCTATTATGTACTTTGGGTTTATAAATCCACATTTATACTATAAGTGAGACGGACATATTACTTTGACACGGATATACGTGTCATATCAGGTGGCTCTTTTCTTTTTGTTTGGAACATCAATTAAAACAATTAAATTGACCCTTGCTATTCCTTATGCTATCCCATTCTTCAAAACCTTCCTTACCTGTTACTTTAGACCAGTGTTTCTCAACTCCAGTCCTCATGGACCCCCAACAGGTCATGTTTTCAGGATTTCCCTCAGATGAAACAGCTGTGGTAATTACTAAGGCAGTGAAACTGATCAAATCACCTGTGCAAAATAATGGAAATCCTGAAAACATGACCCGTTGGGGGTCCATGAGGACTGGAGTTGAGAAACACTGCTTTAGACCATTGTTAGCTCTTTTTTTTGTTCCCTGTATCATGCTATAGCTCTCCTAAAATCCCTAGATAGCAGCTGTTAAAACTCTGCGTTATTATTTACTTGACTTCTGAAGTCAGATCTGCAGTCGCTATTCTATATTTAGCATGCCTGGATACAGTGACATTATCCATCTTTTCTTGATTGACTAGATTATTTTTTAATAAAGAGTTAAAAC